CATCCATCCATCCATCCATCCATCCATCCATCCATCCATCCATCCATCCATCCATCCCTAAAGAATGTGAGCCAGTCATACGGTGAGCACAAGGGATAATCCTGCATCCATTCAATACCAATTTCGTTACTGTTCAGTCATTCAGTTGAATTTGACTCTTCTTGACCTTGGAATGAAATTTTCTTGACAAAGACACTGGAGTGATTTGCCATTTCCTTCTCCGGTGAATTAAGGCAAACAGAGGGTTAAGTGACTTGCCTAGGGTCAGACAGCTACTGCGCGTCTGACGCAGGATGTGAACTAAGGTCGTCCTGAATCCAGGCCCAGAGCCCTATCCACTGAACCACCTACTTGTCTCCTCAGCACCAATAGCCAGTCATTTATTAAGCACCTACCGTGTGCCAAGAACCGTGCTAAGCACTGGGGGTACAAAGAGAGGCATAAGGAAGTCCCCGCTCTCAAGGGGGCTCAGAATAAGTCTCGAGGAGGCTCTCCATGTGCTGGGGTGGCCCCTCTGGACAGGATTTAAGGGAGGACACAGGCAAGAGTCCCAGAGGATGGGCAGGCTCATCAGAGGAACTATTCATCTAAGTAGCTGGATTCATACGTTGGTTGGACGTTAATGGGCTACTGTTAGGAGGGAGTTTTGAGCTTAGTGGAAATGTCTCACCACCTGATTGAGGCAGAAATGCCAAGTACCAAACACGTTAAATGCATACACATACAAATGTGAAATGAACCAGAAAAATTCAGGCGAGCGTCGGAGGAAATGCTTTTAATCATCACATCCAACGGCAGCCTCCCCGGTCTTCACCCCCTCAGTTTGGCCTCGAGCCAATTTGGTTCATTCCTTTCAGTCATTCAGGTCAATTAACAAGAACTGTTAAGCCTCTCCCCTTGCATTCGGCACTACATGGCTAAAATAAAGTCCGTTGTGTAATAGTGGTTGAAAATGACTCTTTGTTAACCATAAAAGAGAGTTTTCAGGGAGATGAGGGTCCTCCTTTCATGGCTGGTATTTATATACCTGATACTTCTGTTACATCCCATCTAGCCAGCTACTTGGGCCACTGCACCCACCACCTGCCAGCCCTACCCAACTTCCTGAGAACAAAAGTCCCTTCTCTGGTCACCTCTCACCCACATGTATTGTTTTCTTCCTTTTGGAATGTAAGCTGTCTGAAGGCAGAGATTCTCTCTTGGAATCCCTAGCGCTTAACACAATGCCTGGTGCCTACTGAGTACTGAATAAATGTCTTTCCATTCCTTCATTCATACGTTGGCCTCCTGGCTACTCCACAAACCAGACACTCCATCTCTTCACTCTGGGCATTTTCTCTGACTGTTCCCCATGCCTGGAATGCTATCCCTCATCATCTCCTGGCTTCCTTTAAAATCCCACCTTCTGCAGGAAGTCTAGCCCAACCCCTCTTAATTCTAGTGCCTTCCCTCCATTAGTTACTGCTTATTTATTCTGTATATAGCTTGTCTGCATATATTTGTTTGTTTGTTGTCTCTTTCATTAGTTATAAGCTCTTTGAGGGAAGGAATTGTGGGACTCTTTTTCTATCCCTAGTACTCAGCACGATGCCTGGGACACAGTAGGCATTTAATAAATGTTTACTGCTTGACTGACTCATTCATTCCTATAAGTTACCATTTTTAAAGGCACAAGGCTAGGTATAATCCCGCTGCAACTTAAGGCATTACTTCTTACTGAGGAGCTGGGATTTCTCACAGTTTTATTATTATTAAAATTATTTTAATAACTAAATTTAATCAAGTAATAAAAATATAATAGAAATAATTGAAATTGTTTTAATAATCAATAATCAAATCAATAAAATTGACATTAAAATTGTCATGAGATACTTCTATTTTTATTTGCTTCATGAATTCAATACTCATTGCTCCATCCTCCCTTGACAAAAATTATTTTAAGTGTCACTTTCCCTGCACGATCGACATGGTACGTTCTTTATTCTGCTTCCAGATCCACACCTTAAAACATTGCGTTTAAGTTATTGTTCGCTGATCAACAGAAGGCAGCACAGTACATGTTGTACTTGACTTAAATGCCATTTTTCCATGTACGTCTGCTGGCTTTAATTATTTCTCAGGAAGGAACGGCAGAAAATATCCAGCCATTTTAGGAAATAGAACAGCAACCTTCATCGGTCAACCAGTGGTTCCCATTTAACCATGTTCACAACAAAACCAATTCACCAAAAAGAGGAAATTCTGAAGCCTCCACCTGAGTGCAAAGTTGTGGATGAATCAGCATTTACATCTCCAATGAGTTACAGAACCACTGTAGGAATAAAGGTGGATCAAAACCCAGTACATTTCCAGAGGTGGCCAAAGTGAAGTCACCTCATCTTTAAAGGTCACATTTAAGCAGCACAGATGTTCAGTAAATCAGTCTGCCTTTTCAATGTGTAAAAAACAATGACCATACTTTGAGATGTAAAATCGTTTTTCCTGGAATCGTTGTCAAGTACGGAATGCCAAGCAAAAGGCTTTAAAATTTACAAACATGAAGTGAATACACTGTTTGAAAATAGATAAGTATGAAATAATATCCTGTGAAGTTTCCCATCATTGCATCTTTTGATGTATTTTTTTTTCATGGTAAGAAAATGGTACCAATGCTATTGAATAAACAGATAATGGAGGAAAATGCTGATGCTGATCATTTCTTAAAAGCACATAAGTAAAATCTACTGCTCTTCAGGTCTGTGATAGAAAACCCTAAATATCTATCACATTTTTCTTGGAAAATGGAGAAAAAAATGGAAGTAAAGTTCTTTTTGAAATATTTCATTTAATTAATCCCTTCAGAATAAGAATGTCTTTAGTTACTAATATACCAGTGGGTACCTTTCTAGCTTCTTCACTGACTATTAACCCCCTCCACACAATCTACATTCTGGTGAAAATGGCTTAATTGTGGGGGAGGCGGGGAGATCCACCCCAGAGGATGTAAGCCAAAGTCCTCCACTGAGGACCCAAGCAATGAGAAAAGCTGGTCATCTGAGAGGCAGCAGGTCCCACACTGATTCTAAGAACCAAGTCTCCACGAGGCCATTTGTCCTTCAGGGCTAGTGGACAGACCCAGGGGCCACAAGGCTGCACAGGTACAAACAGGGAATGGGCAACGTGGGAGTTTTCTTACCTGTTTGTATTCGGACTCTCTTCCAACCAGCACTTGCAGGATGTAATTGATGGGATCTCCTCTCATTGGCGGTACCGTCTCCCACGAAATCTCACATGCGTTTCCCTCTAACCGCGTCACTCGAGGCGCTAAAACAAAATAGCAAACAAACCCATGGGCGGGAAACCTCGACATTCAGAATGGTGTTTTATTGGCTAATTCTTAATGACCTACTCTTCTGAGGAGAGGCAGTATGAGTAGAGAGTCAGTATTTAATACGAAATAGGATTTAGTAGAGAGTGGGGAGTCAAGATGCCAGGGTTCCATTTTGCATTTGGTTACTGGTGGTGTAACCTTGGAAGAATCACTTCTGAGGCCCCCCTCCAAAACTGCTAGATTAGAAAGGAAAAGGAAATGCTTTCATTGGTACAAGGAATTCCCAGGGGAGTAATCTCTGCCAATGTAGACCAGAATCTTCTTTGTAACTTGTAGAAGTGATGCCCAGGACTGAATATGGTAGCCCAGGTTTGATCTGCCCAGTACAGAGTACAGTAGAACTCTTGACCTCCTCACTCTTGGGTATTATTGCATCTCTTAATAGAGCCTAAAATCCAATAAGCTTTTTTTTGGGGGGGGGGGGGGGGGGATGCCTTCCTGTACCACCTAAGCACTCTTCAAGAACTGCTGTGGTAGAAAAAAAATAAAAAGAAACCTCTGCCTTTGGCTAAGTTTCTGGTGAGATGCCTCTTCAACCTTGGCCAGACTCTAGACAGAAGGCTTTGGCCTGCCCCTGGACGCCTATCAGAAGCTTCTGGAGGCTTTGGGAGCCCAGGACCTTAGAAACACTGGAGAAAGGCTTAGAAGAACAGGCCTGGTGCAGTGAGATGAAAGCACTGCCTCTGGACCTGGGTTCAAATCCTTTCCCTAATGCTCACCATCTATGTGACCGCTTAACCTTAGTTTCCTCACCTGTAAAATAGAGGGATTGGGGCAGATGCCTCCTCAGGTCCCTTCCAGTTCCTGACTTTAGGCAGGGGGAGAACATATCCAAGTTTTAAAATGTCACTGTGAATTTTGCTTTTTTCCTTGATATTTGAGGATATGGGGTAGCACCGTGGAAAGAATGTCAGGAGCCTCGGACTTTGACCTCATCTCTGCCTCTTATGGCTGCACATCCCTTCTCTCTCAGATTCTGCTTCCCAATTGGCAAGGACCGCAAAAAGCAAATTTGCAAAACTCACTTTACAGGGTTGTTAAGTGGGGGCACGAGAGTAAAGCTTTGTAGGAGCAAAGAGCTACTCTTTTTAACTCACGGGTTAGTAAATGAGGCTACCGAGCAGGTGACATTAAAAGCCCAGACTGTTCAAGCATCTCCTCCCCTCGCTTCCCCAAGCACACCCTCAGAGCAGAAGCAGCTACTCTGGCAGAGGCAGCTGACCACTGATGACTGATAATGTGCTTTTAATGACTGGACAGCCCATTCTCCGGGGCGAGCCATGCCAGGGCAGCCCGGCCCGGCGAAAGACAAATGTCCTCTCTGCTCAGTGGGACGGACAATGTTTTATCAAGGAAAACTAGGGAAAAAGGCTGATAAATAGTGATTGCCCAATGACACCCAGCAGAAGCTCAGCACAGGTTTTTGGAACAATATGAACAGGTGAATTAACACACTACATGTTTCTCAGCGGAGCAAGGCTTCACATCTAGCCAAGGGCCCTGGAGACTCCATGGAGGGGAAGCATGGTGGTAGTATGGCATCTTTCTCCCCCAAAGTAGAAGAGTAATGTTTGGGGGCACTGGGGTCACCCCCTGCTCTCCACTCCACCAATTCCCATCCATTACAGACATACAGTCTTGCCTTCCCCTCCCCCCTCCGTGGAATGTAAGTTCCTTGAGGGAAGGGATCATTTCATTTGTGTCTTTGGATCTTTAACATCCAGCTCAGTGCCTGGCTCACAGTAGGAACATAATAAATGCTGACTTAGGAACTCCTACCCTAAACGTCATAAAATTTTGAATATGGCAGGGTCCACTGAGACCTCCCATTTTGTAGGTTCTTTTCCCCTTGTTTAATTCACATCTTTTCTGCAGGTCCACACATGCTACAAATGCCTTTTCATTTGTGTCTTTTCTACGGATCCACATGTGTTACAAATGTCTTTTAAGCCTCAGTGCCTGGGGCCTCAAGAGAAGAGATCTGGGTTTGAATCCTAGCTCTGACTCTTCCTAGGTCCAGCTACTTGACCTCTTTGTTCCTCAGTTTTCTCATCTGTCAAATGGGGATGATAGACCCCTACATCTTGCCTCACAGGGCGGCAGAGAGGAAAGCTTGTGTTATGCTTCAAGTACTATAGAAACATGAATGACTATTGTCATTATTGCTGTTGGGGCCAAGCTAGTAGCCAACCAATGGCCATCTCTAAGGGGTTTTGGGGAAAAGAAAATCACAATCTGGGTGTTCCTTCCTTACAGAATGTTTATGCAAGTATGGAGAATGTCAAAGGCAACCTAGAGGCAAAAAAAAGGTCATATCATGGCTTCCTGGTCAACTTGAATGCCAACCAGCCGTCTTTCATTTCTAACCTAAAGCTTTGCTATTTCTGTTAAGTTCATTTCTTCTTTTTTTCTGTCACCAGCGGGAAGAAGGACAGAAGCTTACTGTCTTCTCCTAGACCAATCAGTCAAGCCATGTGCATTTATTAAATGCCCACTGTTGTCAGGCACTGTGCTAGGCCCTGGGTGTCCAAAGGAAAAGAATGAAATGTGCCTACCCTCAAAGCATTTATATTCCAATCCATAATAATTTCTGTGCTTTAAGGCAGCTATTGCCTTCTCTTGGAGGCATCCTCTATCCCAGTAGAATGTAAGCTTCTTGAGGTCAGGGACGATATGTTTTTGTCTTTGTATCTCCAAAGTGGAGCACGTAATGCTTACAAAATGGAATGGCATTCCCAAAGTCGACTTCTTTGATCTAGTCAGTCATTGTTTCCAAGGCTTCTCTTTGGTGTTCTCATCGGAATTTAGGAGGCATTAGGAGAGAATTCAACATCCTACTCTAACTCCCAATGATTCCTTTGGACTTATTTCCCATGTCTACAAGGAAGCGACTTTCCGATAGCTTGTCTACAAACCTTTGATGGTAGGCGGGATGCATTTGGTTGTGCTGAAGGTATATGTCTCTGAGAAGGGCCCTTCACCCGCATCATTCACTGCTTGTATTCTGAAGGTGTAGCAAGTGAATTCTGTTAATCTCTGTACCTTGTAGGTGTGGCTTGGTCCTCTGTAAATTGGGATGAACCTACATAAAGAAGACAAAAGAAATCAGACATTAGCATAATATTGAGTCATGGAATTATTGACTGGAAAATGATAGGGACTTTAGGACTTCTGGTTCAAACCCCTTTCTTTACAGAGGAGGAAACTGAGGACCCGAGGATGAAGAGACAGCATATAAGAACATCGATTTAGAGTTGAAAGGAAAAGTCAGCTAGCTAGTCTATTTTTTAGATGAGGATTTAAATGACCACCAAATGGAAAAAATTGTTAAATGCTTTGCCTGGAACACAGTAGGTGCTTAATAAATGATCGCTTCTCCCATCACTCCCCCCAAATCCTCTCTTCTCTGGTAGGAAGTAGGTCGCATTCAGTATCGACTTAGGCTTTATTAGTGTCTCCCTTCGTAAGACTTGTATATTTTGTGAAGTAGCTGTATCTCTATAACACCGATAGAAATCACCTGACTTTAACACACTCCCTTTATGCATGGGCCTGCCCACCTTGTCTGGAAGGGCCTCTCAGATCACCTCTGTCTCTCCTAGGGGAAGTCTTCCAGAATCCCCCCAGGTTTTAATGCTCTCGTCCTCTTCAAATTACCTTGCATAAGTTAATCTATATATACATGTATAAAGCTCTCCTTCCTTCCCAAGCAGAAACTGAACTTCTTCAAGTCAAGGCCTGGTTTTCATTTTAATTTTCTATCTTAATGCAATGCATACAATAGGTACTTCATAAATGCTTGTTGGAATGGCATGGATTGTTCTATTCCATAAAATCTCCATTAAACTGAAAGCTGTAGGCAGGGGTGGGTGTGCCATGTAGGAGTGGATTGTCTAGGAAGGAGAGACACATCTAGAATATCCTCTTTGATTGGACCTGAGGGTCCAATTACTTGACAAGAAATCAATTATTCAATTCTCTTTACCTCACCAGCGAAGATACGCTCAGGAAGGATTATAATAGCATCTAATGGAGAAAATGTAACATGTTCTCCATTGTATATTGGTGCACATTAGAGAGCAGAGACAAATACAGTGGGGGATCATGGCCTGGTGGGGCCATTTCAGGGCTTTTTAATATCTCCATGAGATAGGTTTTGAAAGGAAAAGAGATAACAGTTAATTCCATTTATGCCAGGGGCTCATTCTAAGGTCCGTAAAAATGTGCTGTTTAGTCATTTTCTAAATTCCATTTTATGAACATCTTACAGGATGTTTTAACTGTGGTATTTTCAACTGAACTGCATAATAGTTAAAACAGTCAATTCTTATAAATTATTGAGGGTTTTAAGTGGATTCAATGCTTATGCAATCCTAGAAATGTCAGGTATGGTAAGTGAGCCCCTGGACCCAGGAGTCAGGAGACAACTGGGTTCCAATTCTGTCTCTGGTTCTTCTAGCTATGTGGCCATGGACAACCTACTTAAACCCTCTGGGCCTCACTTTCCCCATCTGTAAAATGGATGCAGCACCCTCCACAAAGGAACATTGTGAGGATCAAACGAGATAATAAAAGGCAAGCATTTTCAAAACCTTAAAATATCACATACGTGCCATTATTATAATAATCACAATGAACATAAATGCTACATGTGTCAATTATTATGACATTTTATTATCTTTATGTAGTTTTTATGCATTCTTTTTCTTATTTTGAAATTTATCTTAGAATCATATATGTGTGTAAAATTGGATATGCAATTTCTTTTATTCTAAAGTATTGCCATTCTTTCTTAAGCCCCCCAGAAAACATTTCAAAGACGCAAACTTGCACCATATCACTAATGATGAGAACTCTTTCTTGGGAGGATGTGAATCTGTGGGACAGCCAGTGACTCATGACTCTTGGACGTCCTGACTCCCAAGATGACTGGGTCTAAAGGACAAGGGAGGCATTAGCTCTTTCGGTCCAGCCCCAGGGCAGGGCTTGGTGAAGGAAGGAGGCTCCTCCTCTGAGCAGTCTGGAGGAAGGTCACGCTGGCCCCCAAGCCTGGTAGGGTCACCTCCTTCCTTCTCAGTCTGACCCTGCTGCCTTTGTTTTTTTCCTCTGGCATTTAGAGCATCACTGTCCCTGCCAGTATAACTCTCATCATGCTTAATAGATTTCATTAATAGCTTTTACTCTGGAATATTTTCGAGAGGGAAAATGAGTAAGAGATTTTTTTTAGATCTAAAAACAAATTTCACTTGCAAAATCTAGGCTTATCAAATCAGAGTATTTCAGTGTTTAAACATATACATTTATGCTTTCATCATCGTTTTAGGTTATGAGTCTTATCATTTCCCATGTTTATTGTATCTTTCCCTTTCCAGCCCAAGGAATCCGTTTCTTCCTAAGGGCAGACAATTTTCATTGCTGGAAAAGGTTATGATTATCCTAAGAAACCCATGATACCATGGGGACCAATCTGGCTCCCTGACACATCCTGCCCCTAATGAGGATTTCCCTTCTAATGCTGGAGGCGGCAGCTACTTATTAACTCAGTTAAGTTCACCTGAGTTAAATCGGCAACACCAGTAAGTGCCCTTAATTATCCTGGGCCTTACAGGTAATGATGCAAGCCACGGGCGGTCTGGCTGCTGCATCTCCACAAAACTCACTTTCAGAGAAAACACACAGGCTATTCCTCTGAAGAGTGTTATTCGTTTTACTTATATCTTCACTCACAGAATCACTGGAATCAACATACCTAGAGTCAGAAGGGAAATGACAGTCCACTCATCCAGTCCTACCCTTCATTTTACATATGGGGAAACTGAGGCTCACGAGGGGGGGTATGACTTGCCCAAGGTCACCCTGGTACTAAGCTAAGCATCACAGGCTGGCTCTTTCTTTTTTTTTTAAATGTGTTTTTTAAATTTTTTCCCTTAGGCAATTGGGGTTAAGTGACTTGCTCAGGATCACACAGCTAGTAAGTGTTAAGTGTTTCGTCTGAGGTCATATTTGAACTTAGGTCCTCCTGACTTCAGGGCTAGTGCTCTATCTAATGCACCACCTAGCTGCCCCTCAGGCTGGCTCTTTGACCCTAAAATCAGCACTCCTTCCACCGTAATACAATAATTTCTCTTGGTGTAAGCATCTTAAATATTTGAACCCCTACGCATGTAAAATTAACATAATAATGGAGAGATTTTACATAAATCTAGGAATGTAGGAAGCGTCATTAAAAATAACATGATGGAAATGCACGATTGGAAACAAAAGTAGGTGAAGTTACTAATACGTGGATGGTACAATAGACCAAGATAGAAAATGTCCAGACCTAGCTGGAGGAAGGCCTTCGGTGTGGTGCATGGATCCTTGTACTGATAAAGAGCTATGGGAAAGTGTAGAGGAGAATTTCATAGGAGAAGAAGGCCTAGATGGGCAGCAGTGTGGGAACATCCAGTGTCAATGGGATCAATCGCCAGCGTATTTGTTTGCTTGTTTTTTCATCCAATCATTTATAACAGAGACTATTTACTGAGCACCTACTACGTGTAAAGATCTGCTAGGTAGATACTGGGATAAAGA